GGGGCCTCGTGGGTAACTGCAACCTCCCTCACCATGTCCTAATTAGGCCTGTCGGGGTGAATGAGAGGGCATGCTCAGCACCCCGAGACCATTGGATGCCCCTATACGTTCATTATTTGATAGCAGGGCTTAGGTTTCTCATTCCAGAATTACTGGTGGGGCTATTATTAAATTACAGTATAGGAATAACCCAATTAACCCCAAATGCCATAAGGGTAATAATAGGCTTTCTTGTATACTGCAGAGTTCGGGGGGTGGGAGTCCCTACAGTGAACATGTTCAAATAGTTTTTATAATAAAGGCTGGGGGTAGGGGGGAGAAGGGGTGATACTACTTCGACCCTCGGTCGTCCAATAAAGGGAATATGAGTTTATTCTCTGTTGGACCGTCATCCATCAAAGGGTGGAAAGAAAAATTCTTCTTTGTGGATGACACCGAATGGAGTAGGAGGGATGCCGAAGTGGAACAGTTGTCTGCTTGGAAAGCGAAGAAAACCAAGCAGAACAACTATAAGTTGAATGAGGATGAGGTGGAGGAGGTGGAGAAGCTGGTGAGGGAAGATGGAGACATAGTGGATATCTTGTACCTCACCAGTCCGAAGGCGATAGAGGCTGCTGAGCTCTATGGGTCAAGCTCATTGAGCGAAGGTTTGTGTATGTTTATAGTGTGCAATTTTGATGAGATTTTAACTGGTGTGTTATAATATTGACGTTTGTTTTACAGTTGAGATGGACGAGTTCGTTAATGCGGTTGGGGGCCTGCACATCCCAAAGAAGCCAAGGAAGAAGTCAAAGACTTCAACTGCGGCGGAGAAGGGGGTGGCAGAGAGGGGGCGATTGTCCAGCACTTCTGCCTGGGCTGTGGAGGTGCAGCCAAGGCCGGAGCCTGTGATGGGGGGTGACGAGGATGTAAGTGAGGAGGTGGCACCTCTCCAGAGGAAGAAGAGGAGGGTGGCAGAGCCAGAAGCCAAGGGGGACGAGGTGGTGGAGTTCGTGCCCTGGCCTTTTCCTCCAGAAATTAACCCTGAAGACAGGGAGAGGTTGAGGTGCGAGGTGCGAGGCCTTGGTGGGGGCAAGGAGCGCATCCCTCCTCACGCGTACTAGAAGAGTTTGTTTGAGGCGACAAACACGATTGGGGCAAAGCACTTCCTCAAATCTACTCTTCCTGAGGTGGATAGGATGCAGGTGAAGGACGAGGTGGTTAGCCATGTGGGGTATACCGTTGTGAGGCACGCCCTAGAGGTATGCGAAATAGTTGGAATTTACTCCGGTTGTATGTTTGAGTTTTTTGACCTCTGTATCTGATGTCTGACTTTTGATTGCATTGTAGAGTGCGAGCTGGACAAACGCTCTAGCGCAGGAGTATGCAGAGAGCGTGAGAGATCGTGCCAGCTTGCAGAGGCAGTGCGAGCAGTTGTAGAAGGAGAAGGGGGAATGGGAGAAGGAGAAGAGGGAGATGCAAAAGAGGCTGGATGAAGTTCTCCCTTCAGTGACCGAGCTCCAGAACGAGAATGATGTCCTGAGCACGAAGCTTGTCCTCGAAGAACGTAAAAGGAAGATCTGTGAGGAGAAGCTCGAGGCTCAGGACAAATACATTGACAACATGAGGAAAGGAGCAGCGGAGCTAAAGAAGAACGTGAACCTGCTGGTTCACAACGGGATGGAGGAGCACATTGGCAACTTCCTCAACTCCAGCACCTTCGAGAATATCCTCAAACTCTACCGGCTGCCAACCGCAATCGTGGCCTTCACCGACTGTAGAAAGAAGGTGAAGGCCTAGTACCCAGAGGTGGACGTGACAACAGTCACCTTTGGGGAACAAGAAGAAGGGGTGGAGGAAGATGGGGAGAGCCTCTGTGCTGACTTCCGACCTCAGATCACGCTGAGGTGGGAGCGTGATGCAGAGGGGCTCACTATTTTTCCTCCAGCCTTTGAGGCTGAGTTGGTGGCAATGGGGGAGGAAGAAGAAGAAGAAGAAGCACAAGGCGCTGGGGTTGAGGATCAGGCAGCTGTGGCCGAAGTGCAGCCTCCCGAGGTGCATTCAGTCTCTTCTAATGAAGTGCAGCAATTGGCCCATCCCGAAGCAGAAGTGTCGCCTCAGCCTGCTAAAGACGAGCCCATATCACCACCTCTTCTTGCTGAGGAGCAGCCTCCTCCTCCAGCAGAGTAGTTTAGGATTTTTTGCGTTATTGGTGTAAATAACATTTTTGTATTTGAGATTAACGTATAAAATTTTTGAATTTATTATTATCTGGTGTTCGATTTTTTACTTGTGATTAATGTTTTTCTTTGAGGAACTCTTTTCGGATAAAATAAGTTAACCTGAATTAACACAAGGTTCTGACCTCGGATAAAATAAACAGTATAGTAGTTAACTTCGGATGTCCATAAGGTATACCTCAAAGATGAAGTAAAGCACTTCAAAAATACAGTGTAACTGATTAATAGGATTATAACCCTAAAAATGAAGTGACTGAATGAGTCAGAATGAACTGACTTCAGAAATAAATGAAACCCACTTCCAACGCATAACAGAGTTCACAGAACTGAATTACTTCGAACGTGAAGTGAAATTCATATGAATTGAGTTTTGATATACAACAATCAGAATAATGGTGGTTAAAACAAAGTTGACTGGAAAGAAGTGTATTAAGGGTAAAATTTCTTCAAGTTATTGGCATTCCAGACTCTAGGAACCCTTTTTCCCTCAGTGTCTTGTAGGATATAAGCACCTGGGTGTGGCAATTCGGCTACGGTGTAGGGGCCTTCCCAGTTTGGTGCTAATTTTCCAAATCGAGTTTCGAACCCCGTTAGACCAGCTTTCCTGAGAACAAGGTCGCCTACTTTGAATGGTCGGGGTCGAACTCGTTTGTTGTGAAAGTTTGCTACCTTCTGCTTGTAGACTAAAGTTCGAAGTCATGCTTCTTCTCTGACTTCGTCAAGCAGATCAAGGTTCTCCCGAAGCAGTTGTTCATTCTGCCCTTCATTGAAATGGGTGACCCTGAAGCTTGGGACTCCTATCTTGATAAGAATTACTGCTTCGGTACCAAAGGCCAGATGATAGGGTGTTTCACCTATTTCAGGGGATTATAACTTTAGAATGCGCTTTACACGTTATGCATATTTGTTCTAAGGTAAAACCGTAGCGGAAGAAGTAAAATAATATAAAATTAATCGAATAGGCCAGGTGTAGAGTAATACATGTGGCAGTTCGACTCGTAGTTCTGTATGCCAAGAGGACGTTGTTGAGCTCGTCTGCCCATTTGGCCTTGTGTTGTTCCAGCCTCGGCTTTATACCTTCTAAGATGCACTTGTTAACAGATTCGACCATGCCGTTGGACTCCGGATGGTAAACCGAGGTGAACTGCAGTTTAATCCCGTAACT